AAACATACAATCTTCCAAAACTGAATCAAGAAGAAACAGAAGCCCGGCCGTGGTGACTCAGTGGTTGAGCATCAACCCATAAACCAGGAGGTCACGGTTCGATTCCTGGTCAGGGCACATGCCCGGGTTGTGGGCTCCATCCCCAGTGTGGGGCATGCAGGAGGCAGACAATCAATGATTCTCTCTCATCATCGATGTTTCTATCCCTCTCTTCCTCTCTGAAATCAATAAAAATATATTTTAAGAAAAGAAGAAACAGAAAATCTGAACAGACTGATTACAAATAATGAAATCAAAGCAGTAATCAAAAAACTTCCAACAAACAAAGTCCTTCACTGGATGGCTTTACAGGTGAATTTTACCAAACATTCAAAGAAGAACTAACACCTATCCTTCTCAAACTATTCAAAAAAATTCAAGAGGAGGGAAGATTCCCAACCTCATTTTACGGGCCAGCATTACCCTAATTCCAAAACCAGATGAAGACACTACAATGAATGAAAATTATAGGCCAATATCCCTGATGAACATAGATGCTAAAATTCTCAACAAAATATTAGCAAATTGGATCCAGCAATAAATTAAAAATATCATACACCAGGACCAAGTGGGATTTATTTGGGGGATGCAAAGTTGGTACTTGCATCCATATTTGTAAATAAATAAATGTGATACATCACATAAACAAACTGAAGAATAAAAACCACATGATTATATCAATAGATGCAGAAAAAGCATTTGATAAAATCCAGTATCCATTTATAAAAAACAAAAAACAAAAAAAACTCTTAGCAAAATGGGAATAGATGGATCATACCTCAACATGATAAAGGCCATATATACAAACCGACAGCCAAAATCAGATTTAATGGGCAAAAACTAAAAGCTTTTCCCTTAAGATCATGAACAAGACAGGGATGTCCTCTTATTCAACAGAGCACTGGAAGTCCTAGCCACAGCGATCAGACAAGAAGAAGAAATAAAAGGCATCCAAATTGGAAAGGAGGAAATAAAACTGTCACTATCTGTAGATGACACACAAGAAACTGTATAGGGAACCCTAAAGGCTCTACCAAAAACTACTAGAACTGATACATGAATTCAGTAAAGTAGTAGAATACAAAATTTATATTCAGAAATCAGTTGCCTTTTATTACACCAACTAGGGGCTCAGCGCATGAATTTGTGTGCCTTGAAAGGAACTGTGGGTCGCGAGGCTGCGGTGGGCACAAGGGCGGGTCTCAGCCCATCCTCTGCGCCCCAACCCAGCCCCTCCTGCCAAGGCCCCCAGGCCCATCTGCTGGCAGCCCCGCTCCTGCTGCTGCCACTCTCACGGCGTGGCCCCGCTCACACCCACTGGCGATTGGGGCTGGCGCGCCAGCAGTGAGTGCGAGCAGGGCCGGTGCCATCAGCGGTTGCGAGCAGTGGCTGCTGCCTTGATTGCCCCTCAGGAGCAGGGGGAGGTGGAGAAGCCCTGAAGGGCGACTGGGGCTGGCAGCCACTGCTCGCACCCAGTGACAGCGCCGAGTGAGTGGGACCAGTGCCGGACGCTGGCAGCAGGTGTGAGCAGAGGCTCTGGCACAAGCAGCAGGTATGAGTGGGGCCATGGCCAGAGGCAGCTGCCGGCCCAGATCAGCCCTCAGGAGCAGGGGGAGGGGGAGAAACCCTGAGGGGCGACTGGGGCCGGCAGCTGCTGCTCACACCCTCTGACAGTGCCGAGCGATCGGGGCCGACACTGGGCACCAGCAGCCGGTGCAAGCAGGGCTGGCGCCGGCAGCAGGTGCGAGCACCTGGTGGGACCGCGGCGCACAAGAACAAAGAATTTTCAGTAATCACCAGAGGCTCTCCCGGAAGACAGTGACCGGCACCCCATCTTGGTCTGGCGCCCCCGCTCACCTGCTCCACCATCCTGCCGCGGCCGATGCCCGCCATGTTCTGCGCACGCCCCCTGGTGGTCAGCGCATGTCATAGCGACTGGTTGTTCAGCTGTTCTGCCGTTCGGTTTATTTGCATATTAGGGTTTTATATATACAGGTAATAAACTATCAGAAAGGGAAACTAAGAAAACATTGCATTTACAATTGCATTAAAAAAATACATGGGAATAAATTACTGGCATAAAACATAAGCATATAGATAAATGGAACAGAATAGAGAGCCCAGAAATAAACCCACAGCTATGGTCAATTAATAGTTGACAAAGGAGGCAAGAGCATACAATAGGGTAAAGACAGTCTCTTCAATAAGTGGTGTTGGGAAAACTGGACAGACACATGCAAAAAAATTAAACTAAACCACCTTTTTACACCATACACAAGAATAAACTCAAAATGGATTAAAGACTTAAATGTAAGATTAGAAATCATAAAAATCCTAGAAGAAAACATACACAGTAAAATCTTGGACATTTCTCATAGCAATATATTTTCTGATATATCTCCTCGGGTAAGGGAAACCAAAGAAAAAATATAGAAATGGTACTGCATAAAACTAAAAAGTTTTTGCAGCCCAGCCAGTGTGGCTCAGTGGTTGAGTGTCGACCCATGAACCAGGACAGGGTTCAATTCCAGGTCAGGGCACATGCCCAAGCTGCAGGCTCGATTCCCAGCAGGGGGCAAGCAGGAGGGAGCCGATGGATGATTCTCTCTCATCACTGATGTTTGTAACTTTCTCTCCCTCTCCCTGAAATCAATAAAAACATATATTTTTTTTAAAAAGTAGAGTGACATGCCGAAACCGGTTTGGCTCAGTGGATAGAGCGTCGGCCTGCGGACTGAAAGGTCCCAGGTTCGATTCCGGTCAAGGGCATGTACCTGGGTTGCGGGCACATCCCCAGTAGGAGGTGTGCAGGAGGCAGCTGGTCGATGTTTCTCTCTCATCGATGTTTCTAACTCCCTATCTCTCTCCCTTCCTCTCTGTAAAAAATCAATAAAATATATTTAAAAAAAAATAAAAAATAAAAAAATAAAAAGTAGAGTGACATTTAAAAAAATAAAGTTTTTGCACAGTGAAGGAAACCAGCAACAAAATGAAGACAACCACTGAATGAGATAACACATTTGTCAATAATAAATCTGATGAAAGGTTAATATCCAAAATTTATAAAGTACTTATACAATTCAACACCAAAAAACCCTCAAACAATCCAATTAAAAAATCAGCCCAGGACACGAGTAGACACTTCTCCAAAGAGGACATACATACAGATAGCAAGAGACATGAAAAGATGCTCAACATCATTAATCATCAGAGAGATGAAAATTAAAACCACAATGAGTTATCACCTCACACCTGTCAGAATGGCCATCATCAATAAATCAACAAACAAGTGCTGGCAAGGATGTGGGGAAAAGAGAACCCTCGTGCACTGCTGGTGGGTGGGATGCAGACTGGTGCAGCCACTCTGGAGAACAGTATGGAGTTTCCTCAAAACATTTAAAATGGAACTGCTTTATGACCCAGGATTCAGTATTGGGAATAAATCCAAAGAAACCTGAAACACTAATGAAAGAATATAGGCACCCCTATGTTCATCACAGTGTTACTGACAACAGCCAAGCCCTGGAAGCAGCCCACGTGCCATCGGTGGTAAGTGTAGAAAGAAGCGTGGTACCTCCACACCAGGGAATACTACTCAGTCTTCAGAAAGAAGGAACTCTTACCACCTTTGGCAACGGCATGCAGGGGCCTGGAGGATCAGGCTAACTGAAGTAAGTCAGTCAGACACACAAGTACCATATGGTCTCCCTTGTATGGGAACCTAATGAACAAAATAAACAAACAGAACAGGAAGAGACTCATAGAGAACAGACTGACCGCTGTCAGTGGGGAGGGGAGCTGGGGGCTGGGTGAACAAAGGCGAAGGGATTAAACAAACAAAAAGACACCTCACAGACACAGACAACAGGAAGGTGATTACCAGAGGCCAGGGGCGCAGGGGGAGGTAAAAGAAGGTGAAGGGCACGAATGCTGATGGAAGGAGACTTGACTTTGGGTCAAGATATTATATTAGAGGATTGTCTGTTTGAAACCTATAATTTTATTAACCAATGTTATTCCAATTAATTCAATAAAAATTTAAATAGCCCAACTGGCATGGCTCAGTGGTTGAGCATCAATCTATGAACCAGGAGGTCATAGTTCGATCCCCAGTAGAGGGCGTGCAGGAGGCAGCCGATCAATGTTTCTCTCTCAGCATTGATGTTTCTATCTCTCTCTCCCTCTCCCTTCCTCACTCTGAAATCAATAAAAACATATTTTTTAAAAAAATTAAAATAAGTAAATAAAATTTATGGATTGTTATTTCTGGGATTTTTCCATCTAATGTTTTTGGGCCACAGATGACTGCAGGTAACTGAAAACAGAAAGTGGAAATGTGGATGAAAAGGACGACTGTCAAGTTATATAATCAGCAACTTTTTCCTGCCAGCTTATAGGGAATTAACCTTAAATCTGTTTAAGTGATTCTTTTCAGCCACCCAAGGAACCACAAAAATCAGGACTTAACCAACAGCCCAAGGGCAAGCTTGCTGGTATTTGTCCACCAGATAAAGATCAATATCCGAGTGTCATTTTCCTTGGTGACAATTTAAAATCAGTCTCAACACTACAAGGGACTTTCCCACCCCAAAAACCAGCAGGGCATCCCTGCCGGCGGCCACTGAGGGATGGGGCAGGGAGTTGGGAGCTGCAAGATGACACTGGTAAGAGAGAACGAGGCGGAGCGCTTCCAGCACACACCTGTGCAGCCCTGGGCGGCACCTCACAGCCAAGGTAACCAGCAGCCCAAGCCTGGGTCCTGCCATTCGGTAGAAATTCTGGAGAGGAATACAGCCCCGCAGGCGGCTCTGGGCTTTGGGATGACAGCGGCGGCCAGTTCCTTGCATTTAGCGGGGCACACAGCACTGACGCTGACCTGCGTGCACGAGTGGAGCCAGGTGCAGAGCAGTGCCAGGGAGAGAAGCGCTGGCCCCAGCAGGCAGCCTGGCGGCTGGTCCTACCTGGGCTGGCTTCTGGCTGCACGGAGCTCGGAGGAAGTGGGGGCGAAGATTCGGGGGCCTCTGCAGCCGGGTGTTCGGCCACCGGACAGATGATAAACCACCTCTTCCCAGTGTGCAGGACTAAAGGGCAGGACAAAAGCAGCTGGTGAGAGCAAGCATGTTTCTCCCGTGGGACCCTTGCCCCTGGGCCACACTTGCCATGAGACGCTCTGGGGAACTCTCACACCACTGAGGGGCATGCAGCCGTTCTCGGCTCCTCGGCGGCAGCCCGGGGCCCCAACAAGCACTCCCACCGGCTTAGTTCCCAGGACGCCCAAGGGACCATCACTGAAGGGGCAATGCCAGCCGAGGCCAGCAGACAGCGGGAATCTATGCCACCCTGCCAACACCTGGGCCCGACAGGGAGGAGCTGGGGGCGAGGTCACCACACAGTCCAACACCCCCAGTGTGATGGCCAAGCTCCCTCCCAACATGCTCAGTGGGGCTCTAATCACCCGCCGCTGGAGAAAGAAGGGACAATGACAGGAGTCTGGGGGTCCCAGGAGGCACGTACCGTTCTGCTGATATACTGGGGCGTTGGCTTGGGACTGGCGATTCTCCTGAGGGAGGTGAAGGCGGCCATCAGTAAACCGCGGACTGAGCACACGGAGCCCGGGCCTCGCAGCCCCGCGGCCTCGGAGCCGGGCACTTCCACCTGTGCTAACGGCGCGCTCTGGGCGGGCACCTCGCCCCAGGCTGCACCCTGCAGGCTCTCCCGGCAGGAAGGTGGGTGGCTGCTGCCCGCAGGCCTGGAGTGGGGGACTCAGGTCCCGCCCTCCCAGGACAGCCGCCCAGCTCACCTCTCCGGCACCCAGGCTGCAGGTGCTGAGGGGTGGTGGGCTTGCCCCCGGGTCGGAGCCACGGTCCACGTCCGTGTCCTCACTGAGCATGTCCTCTGCCTTGTCCATGACATCCTTCATCTGCTCAATGAACGTTTCCCGCTCGGCCTGCAGGATGAAGTCGTGCTCCACCTGCAACGGTACACGCAGCCCTGCCCGTGGGGACTCACAGGGCACACACAGTCCTGCCCGTGGGGACTCACAGGGCACACACAGTCCTGCCCGTGGGGACTCACAGGGCACACGCAGCCCTGCCCGTGGGGACTCACAGGGCACACGCAGCCCTGCCCGTGGGGACTCACAGGGCACACGCAGCCCTGCCCGTGGGGACTCACAGGGCACACGCAGCCCTGCCCGTGGGGACTCACAGGGCACACGCAGCCCTGCCCGAGGGGACTCACGGGGCACACACAGCCCTGCCCGTGGGGACTCACAGGACACACACAGCCCTGCCCGTGGGGACTCACAGGACACACACAGCCCAGCCCGTGGGGACTCACGGGGCACACGCAGCCCTGCCCGTGGGGACTCACAGGGCACACGCAGCCCTGCCCGTGGGGACTCACGGGGCACACGCAGCCCTGCCCGTGGGGACTCACGGGGCACACGCAGCCCTGCCCGTGGGGACTCACGGGGCACACGCAGCCCTGCCCGTGGGGACTCACGGGGCACACGCAGCCCTGCCCGAGGGGACTCACGGGGCACACGCAGCCCTGCCCGTGGGGACTCACGGGGCACACACAGCCCTGCCCGTGGGGACTCACGGGGCACACGCAGCCCTGCCCGTGGGGACGCAGAGCGGCCTGCAGATCTCCACCAAGTGACCCGCTTGGCCTCTGCTCTGCACTAAACCCCCGTGGGCAGAGGCAGCGGTGGCTGGCCCAGCCCAGGGCTGCACAGTTCAGCAGGAGAAGCCGAGGCTTGAGCAGCAGCCCGCGGGGACCCGGACCCGGCAGCCACTGCAGAAGCTGCAGGACAGGCAAGGCTGGCAACAAGGGGGCTGGCAGCCAAGTGCCCAAAGGACCTGGAGGAGGCAGCCTGGCCAACCCAGGGGCAGTGCCACCGACCCAATCACCTGGCAGACACCTGCGTACCATGTAGGTGGCGATCTCATCGGGTGCGTCCCCATCCAGGTCGAACTTGAACGTCACCATCTTGTGGTTGTGCGTCTCCAGCTGGCACTCCACCATCTTGTCACCTGTGTTGCACACCTGCGGGTCCAGGACAGTGAGACCCAGTGTTGCACACCTGTGGGTCCTGGACAGTGAGACCAGGTGTTGCACACCCACGGGTCCAGGACAGTGAGACCAGGTGTTGCACACCCACGGGTCCAGGACAGTGAGACCAGGTGTTGCACACCCACGGGTCCAGGACAGTGAGACCAGGTGTTGCACACCTGTGGGTCCAGGACAGTGAGACCAGGTGTTGCACACCTGCAGACCCAGGGCGGTGAGACCAGGTGCTGCACACCTGCAGACCCAGGATGGTGAGACCAGGTGTTGCACACCTACAGACCCAGGGCGGTGAGACCAGGTGTTGCACACCTGCGGGTCCTGGACAGTGAGACCAGGTGTTGCACACCTGCAGCCAGGTGGGAGCTCCCGCCCGCCACCCACCACCCCTGCCTCCTCACATTCAGGATGGTCAGCCGGGGCCGGCTGAGCCTCTCCGGGCGGGATCGCGTGCGTGTGGACCTGCGGTGGTGTTTCCGGGCCGGCCTGCCTTCTAGCCTCCCCGCTCCGAAGGTGCCGTCACCGCTGTCACTCAGCTCCCTTCCAGAAGGGGCGTCAGACCCTCCGTAGCTGTCGGAAAACCAGGGTTACTCACCCACGAAACGACTGCACACTGGCCTCCCGGGGAAGCTCAGCTCTTCAGGAAGCAGCCAGGAGCTTCAGCATCTGTGTGCTCAGCTAGACCACCTGAGGGCTGCAGCCAGCTGTGCCCCACGGGGCACCCCTGCACGCAGCCCTCCTGCCGCCTGGGCAGCACTGAGGTGACGGGAGACGCGTGGGCTTTCTGACCTAGGACCTTGGTCCTCTCAGCCTCCTGCCCTATCAAGCAAGCCCCACCTCCTCACGGTAAACATCAAAATTCAGAAACGATCCTCTCCCGTGCCTCAGTTTCCCTATCTGTGCAAAAGCAACAGAAACATGCCAACCACACGGTTTGCTGCAAGTATGAGAACTTGCAGAGCAGTGAGCTTGGTGCTGACCTACCGAGAGGGTGGGACCCAGGGTCACTTCCTGTAACCAGTTCCCTCCCAAACTCCGCATGCCCATGCCTGGGAGCCACGGGGGACGGGGTGCGGGCCCTGCCCTCCCAGTCTCCTCCCCACCAGCACCTGGAAACCCTCGCACACAGACCAGCACCAGGACCAGGACACAGCCTGGGGCATCGCACAACCCAACTCCAGCATGTGCTGGCCAAGACCCAGAGGCTCCTGGAGGCCCCAGCAGGTCAGGGAGGCCCCACTGATGTCAGCAGAAGCCCTGCCCCGTGAGGGGCCGGGCAGGCGGGTCCCCGTGACATAGCCGCGGGCCATACCTCTCACAGCTCTGCAGGAGGCCAGGCTGCGTGTCCTGGGAGGCCTGCTCCTGAAATAAACACGAGGATGAAGGGTCACGTCCCTCCCGCAGCCAGCGCAGCAGCCAGCCCAGCCACTGCCTGGTCCCTTCTGACCGTAGCAAGCAGACCCCGTAGGGCAGCGGGCATGAGGGTTTCATCTTGTTGGAGCCAAGCCGATCCCTAAGAGCCGGGACCCTCCCCTTCCCAAGCACACTAACCCACTCTGACCACCCCTACAAGGAAGCACACCGCCAGGGAGGCTTGTAAAAAAAATCTACTTGTAAAAAAACAATCACACCTTCCACCTGGAATGCATTTAAGGAAACTGACATCTGGGGGCAGCAGAGGACGGTGAGCAGGCACATGTGTCCCAAGGTGCACATCCCACCTCCCCACACACCTCCGGAGCCAACTCCACAGTCAGCTGGACGGCTGAGCTGAGGCTGGCGAGCCCAGGCCCACTGGTCAGGGGCAGGTTGGCGGGGGGCAGCGCAGTGGACTGGACAGGCAAGCTCGGAGTCGCAGCCATCGGCGCGGGGGCCTGCGAGCTGGGGAGCTGCGGCAGGTGCTCGGGGGCAGCGGGGGGCAGCCCTTCCGGCACGGGCGGGGAGAGGACGGCAGCAGGAGTGGGTCCCGTGGGGGCCTGGGCGGTGACATCCACAGCATATGCAGGCGGGTGGCCAAGCAGGATCTGTGAGCACAGAAGGCATGCAAGTTGGAGTGCCACTGCCTTCTGGGGGCCCAGCAGCCAGGGCACAGCAGGCACCTCCCTGTCCGGGCGGGTGAGCAGGTCTGGGGGTCTCGAGGCAGCCTCTCCAAGGCACTCACTCCTGCCCAGGCGAGCCTGGCCTCTGAGAACACTTGTACACAGACTTAGAAGAAACACACAAAGGCACTCTGAGTCCCCACTGTGTCAACTCTAATCTAAAACCACACCTCCCTTCTGCACGTCTAGTGCGTCTGGCTGAAAAGCCCTACGTGTGGTCACTCAGCGTCAGCCTCGGGGCCTGGACCGAACGCTGCCCTGACCCCTGCCTCCTGAGGGAGAAGCGCTGGACCTTGGCCTTCCTTGGGGTGACCTGGGAGCTGGGCCTGGCTCCCCACTGTTCCCTTTAAAAGCTCTCCATGGAAAAACGTGGTCGGAAATGGAAGGACCCCCGCTGGGCCTGCTGGCACGAGACTGCTCGGCCAGGGGAGGAGGGGGTGCGGGGGGGGGGGGAGGGCCAGCTCCTCGATGAAATCGAGCCAGCGCGGTGCTACCATGTGCCAGCCAGGCCCTGCCACCGCAGGCCCCGAGCCTCCCCACAGGCCCTGGCTTTCCCCACACGGCCTTGACCCGTGAGTGGACACCACTCTGACCCACGAGCTGCCCAGGGCCTGCACAGCCAGGGCGCCGGCTGCTGACCTCCTCGCGCGCGTGTTTAAACAAACGCCCTCCTGTGGTCAACAGAAGCCACCGTCCTTCTCTGAGTGCCAGCCCCTCTGGGACTCAGACAGTAAGAAGCACGCCCAGGAGCCTGCGCGACTCAGGCCAGGCTCTCAGCCAGACTGGAGCAGTGCCGTGAGCTGGCACCGGCACCCGTGCTTCGGGTGGATCTTCCCGGCAGAATCAAAAGGAGGCATCCGCCCACCTTAGCTTAGGAGCCTAAGCTTTACAAGGAAAGCACAGTGCCCAGGCACAGGCTGTTGAGGGTTAGGGCCAGGTGGGAAGGCACCCAGGTGGGAGGGCACCAGGTGAGAGAGTGCCCAGGCAAGAGGCCCCACCCCACTCCTCTCCTCAGAGGGTGGATCATAGCCCTGACTCTAAAACACAGGCTGGGCAGGTAGCAGAGCCACTCGGAGGCTCACCCAGCCAGCCCAGCGCGTCTGCGTCCCTTCACTGTCCGCGTGCACCGGCCAAGATCCCCTCCTGACCCTGGGACATCATCCTTGCCTGCCAGGCCCACCCTGGAGCCAGCAGCCACACGCTCCCAGCCACTGCCTGGACCCCAACTGATAGATCAGGTCCCCGGACCCTGGGGCCCCGTTTCCCTGACATGGAGTTATTAACCTACCTCTTTTTGACAGGTGACAAGATGGACAGTGTGAGCCTCCCCAGCACCCTCAGAGGAGGCTGCCAGGCCCCACTAGGTGAGGGCAGGTGCCGCGGCACAGCAAGGTGGGGAACCCACAAGCAGCTACTGGCCCTACCGTGGAACCGTTGGCTTCTGACAGGTGTTGGGAGTGGGAGGAGGCAGCAGACACCCAGGGGGAGAGCCCAGCCTGTGGACAGCGCTGCCTGCTGGCCTGTCCCCACCGGGACCCCGCCCTCCAGCCACGAAGAAGCAGAGCCTCGGGCCCTTTGCATCTTGGGCACCACAGGGTCTCCCAGTGTGGGACAGCAGGCCCTCCTGGCAGGCATTACCTGGCTCCCCACCTGGGGGACAGCAGCCGGCTCAGGAAGGTGGGTGACGCTTGGCAGGCGGGGCTGCGGCAGCACGGGGGGTGCCTGCTGCAGAGGGGCAGCCTGCACAGTCTGCGCCGTGTGGAGAGGAGAAGGCGGGACGTCACTGGGCACCATCTGCGGGAAGGCTGCCTGGTACACGGGCTGGGCCGGGAGCTGGGCCACGGCTGGGTGGATGGACAGGGTGGCCACGCCCTGCGGGGCCACGGCCAGCAGAGGGATGGCAGTGGCGGTGGCCGCCACATTTGGCACAATGGTCTGGCACGGCATGGCCAGGGGTGCCCCGGCGGTGTGGGGAAGCTTGACCGTCTGCAGAGGCAGGGCTGGGGACGCGGGCAGGGGGCCGGCAGCACTGAGCGGGAGGCTTGGCAAGATGACGGCAGGAGAGAAATACTGAGAGGGAGGCGGCACCGCAGGCCCACTGGCAGCCGGCAGGTCGGGGAGCGCTGAGGGGAGGCTGTCGAGTGTGGCCAGCGGAGCAACTGGCGGGATGACAGGAGGTGGAGGCATCTGAAAGAGATGGAGCACGTCGGCCCCGGGAGGCTCGGCCCCCGGGACAGCGCCGGCACAACCAGGTTCTGCCTGAGATACTTCTGTGCAGCTGCTGCCAAAGGAACCCAAGAGGAAACTCAATTCCAGTGAAACCAAGCGCATGACACCTTCCACAGGGAAGGAAAGAGGGTGGCCTGGGGGAGCCCCCGTTGGCCCCACCGTGAGGGCCTCGGGTGGTTCTGAGGATGGCCAGGCATGTCGGCTGTGCCACCAGGACTGGGGAGGATGGGTGTCCCCACCATGGGAGCGCCCAAACCTCTGGTCCGAGGCACCCAGCACCTGGCCCCTGGGTTCCACACTTCACACTCCAGCGCTTCTCGGCCAGCTCTCTCCGGAGCAGGGCTTCCGCCCGGCGTGCATGAGGACTCGCCAGCACGCAGCGCCTGACTATATGTCAGCGCACTGACCTCTCCCTTCGATGGTCAAATAAGGAAATAACAACAGCCAACACAACCATCGATGCCTGCTGTGAATGAATCAAAATTCAACCTATTTTGTCAGATTGGCAAAAAATACATTTTCCGAGTGCTGCCGAGTTTCAGGAACCAGTCTGTGTGCCATCAGGTGACAGGGCTGGCAGCCGCTGCCCTAAAGAGAAAGCCGTTCTGGTGGCAGCACACGAGCGTCACACGCACGCGGCCCGGGCAGCTCGAAGGTGGTGACGAGGTGCAGGCCGACCTCTGTGCATTGAAAAGCAACTAAACGCCACAGCCACCAACAAGCGAGGGGTGGTTAACTAGATGGGAAGGGAAACCAGGGCTGTGCCAGGTGACAGCTGGCAGGTAGGAACCTGTGTCGTGGGGGAACCTCAGGGACACTCATGCCTTCCCAGGAAGCGGTACTTCCCATCACAGCTCGGTGACCCCCACGAGGCAAAAGCACCCCATGACCATCACTGGCACGAGTCTGGGCGATGGCACCCCGCACCAAGCATGTGCTGCCAAGGACCACCGTCATGTGCGTTCCACCCCCGCCCACGGTCAGCAGGGGGCGGGCAGGAGAGGGGCGGTACCTGCGGGGGGACTGGAGTGAGTGGCTGCAGAGGCACCGATGGCATCTGGATGGGCGTCGGCTGCGCCGCGGCCACCTGGGAGGTCGAAGCCAGGTACGGAGGCAGGTGAGCGGGCACCGGCTGGAGAGGGCGCATGGGCGGCGGGGCCAGGACCTGTGGCAGGGGCGCTGGCTGGGCCAGCGGAGGCTGGAGGGAGAGGGGCGTCTCTTACACAGCGTCCCACTGAGATGTCCACAGGTGCTCGGACGTGACAGAGATAATCAGTGAGTGTGCACACACACATGCACACACATGCACACACATACTTACACACCCAGACATGCAGATCTGGGAGAATGCTGTGTGTGAATGAGGCCCCTCCCAGTGCTATGGGACTTGAATTCCACAAACACAAGAGACCCCCACCCCCTGTCCCATGAGCACCCTGGGCCCAGGCCAGCCATGGCTGATTGTCAGGGGAGACTGAGGCACCGACGGTGGCCATAGGAGGGGCAGCCCACACTCACCTGGTGGCCTGAGGGCATGGGCTGGCCTGGGCCGGTCAGCACAGGGGCAAAGCTCACGGCTGGCTCCGGGAAATGCTGCGGTGGGAGCGAAGCGCGGGTGGAGGGCGGGATGGAGCCCGCCGGCAGGCCAGGCTGCAGAGAGCGGGGGCAGGCTCAGTGGCTGCCCTGAAGACCCCACCCGCCACGAGCTTGACAGATGCAGGGACCCACTCACTCCCCATGCCCATCACCTGCTAGGGACGGTTTGCCTAGGAACATGACTCACAGAAGCAAGATGTGGCGGCCTTTAAGGCAAATATGATCACAACTCCTAACCAAGGAATGTTCTAGAGCAGCAGTTCTCAACCTGTGGGTCGCAACCCCTTTGGGGGTCGAACGACCCTTTCACAGGGGTCGCCTAAGACCATCGGAAAACACATATATAATTACATATTGTTTTTGAGATTAATCACTATGCTTTAATTATGTTCCATTTGTAACAATGAAATTGGGGGTCACCACAACATGAGGAACTATATTAAAGGGTCGCGGCATCAGGAAGGTTGAGAACCACTGTTCTAGAACATTAGCACCAGAGAATATGATGCAGTCGTGAGAAAAGGCCATTATAAGGGCTTTGTAGAACTAGAGGAACGCTGGTTATGACAACAGTGGGGAAAGATAAAGTGCATTTGCTTCCTGACTGTATAACACGCACATGTGTGCACATGCACACAACACGGAAACATGGAGGCAGACATCCGGCCTGCAGCCCGGGCCCCTGCAGAGCGGGGTCTCCAGCATGGCTGTGGGGGGCCAGTGAGAACTGCTGCTGATGTGTTCATTGCTGGTGCACCATGGGAGTGTGTTGTTTTCAGGAGTCTGGATCCGGCAGGTATAGGCTGAAATGTTTACGGACAAAATATCTTTCCGTTTGGGATTTACTTCAAAATAGTGGGGAAGTGAGAAGCAGGAGGACACCGCAGGTGGCAGGAGCCAGCCTGCTCTCAGCGACGGCCCGCTGTCTCTGGGGCTTCTGGGCGAGTCCCAGGATAGTGATCTGCCACCTGCACCTGTTCTGTCGTGTCCACCTTTCGCAGTGAAGGCTGCGACGGACAAGCCTGCCGTGCACTCAGCGGAGCCCGGGAGAGTCGCCGTGCACGGCTCCCGCCCGGCCTGGCCACGCTGGTTCAGGAGGCCCCAGCCCCTCCGCCCTGCTCTCCTTCACCACAATCACCCTTCCCAGGAGACCCCGGACACTGGGGATCCCCTCCCACCCTCTGCCCAAGCTGTTTCTGCATAATCAGGCAAGACATGGGAGAAAGCACTCTGGCGGCATCCAGCTCCGTCCTGGCCGCCGGCCTGTACCCCGGGGCCCGGCCTTCCCGTCTGCAGGCAGGAGCTGGACAGGCAGGGGCTGCCCGGACGGGCGGCCCGGAGCCAGAGGCCTGACCTGCGCCTGAGAAGCGGCTCGGCTCCCGCCGGGCGAGCCCAAAGCCAAGACACGTGCTCCGAGGAACAGTGGCTTTCCCGACAGAGCTGCTCGTGCCGTGATGACTAACTGCACTTCACCTCATTTCACAATACGAGCAAACCATGCCAGTGCCACAGAGCCTGGGCTCGGCCCCGCCAGCGCCCACTGCTTGTCCAGAGCAGCTTCTGAGCCCAGAGGACAGTGGAGGCGGGGCCACCGTGGGAGGGTGCGGAGAGGGAGGGAGAGCCTGGGACCGCGCTCCAGGCAGGCCGGGCCCTGACCTCCTAAGCCCAGGGGCCTAAGTCTCCTGCTGGACCGCACGGCACCGCCTGCCTCAAGGGCAACTTCTCTGCCTGCTCAGGACTGGGAAGCAAGCAATTGCTTTGCTTTCTTTGGCATTAAAATCAACATCTATGGATATAAAAGCCTCAACGACCGAACGGCAGGTCCCAGGTGGCTAAGATGCACACGGACCACCAGGGGGCAGATGCTCAATGCAGGAGCTGCCCCCTGCTGGTCAGTGCGCTCCCACAGCCAACCTCCACTGCCGGTCAACCTCCTGTGGTCCCTCCCCCGGCCGCTGGCCCCAATTGGCCCCGATTGCTGGCCAGGCCGAGGGGCCCCACCCGTGCACAAATTCATGCCCTGGGCCTCTGGTTGAAAAATATATGCCAAATGTGACCCTTTACCTAGCCATTTCCGTTCGCCTAGGAGGCTTACAAATTATTCCTCAAACGCATGAGCCCTTTTAATCCGCTTCTCAAACGGCACTGAAAACATTTCTCACGACTCAGGCACCTCCACGCCTCACACTGGGTTCACTGGCTGTTTTCTGTATTTCTCGCCGGCAGGCCTCCAGCCTGCAGCCTGCACTTCCCGGCACAGACGGACCTCCTGCGGACCCGCTCAGGCAGGCGGAGCTGAGCACAGGCCGCAGAGCCGAGGGCCCATCCCCGGCTCCAGGCCGCGTGGACGGGCTCTGTGGGGCAGGGCCAAGCTGACTCACCGTGGCGGGCTGCGGGTAGGCCCCCAGCGAGGGCAGGCTGTGCGGCAGGACGAGCCCCTCGCTCACGCTCACGCTCACGCTCACGGGGGCGCTGCACACGCTCTGGGCGGTGAGTGGGGCGGCATCCGCCAGTGAGCCCAGAACCACGCTCTGCTGGCTGCTCTGTGAGTCCGAGTACACGGTGGAGCCCTGGCCGCTGTCGAACGTGCTGTCCGCTGGGGAGGACAAAAGCACAGCTCAGAGTGGGGCCCCAAACGTCGCCCCCGTGACACGCCACACAGGCCCCGGGAAGGCACATGTGGGCTCCCACGAACACGCAGTTCGTCCGGACGTTTCTCCTGGGAGAAGACTTGTGTTTCCAGGTGGTGTAAGCAATGAATGTGCATCATTTCACATATCCAGCGACAGAGCCGTAAGGGGCCAACTGCACCCCGAGACGGCCCTGGCAGCCCACCCACACAGCTGACACCTGGGGGGCTGCCGAGGCCACCACACATCCCAGGGCACCTCACATAGTCCGCACAGGCCGGGCAGCTGCCCCCACCCTGGCTTGGACAGGGCCTCACACAGCGCCAGCCTGGCCTTGAAGTAAGCCCTCGTCCAGCCCTGCAAGGGCGCAGGGTCTCGGGAGGCCGGATGTCCGCGTGCAGAAAGACTCCGGTCAGCGGTCACCCGTGTCTTATGATGGGGGGCTCGAAGACCCTGACCGTCTTCACCTACAGTGACAGGGTCTGAAGCAGGAAGTCTGGGTCCAAACCCGGCCCCCAAGTCACAGGCCGGGTCTAACTTGGTTGGAAAATGGGGCTGACAAGGCCCTCACCCCACAGAGGCCGTGAGAGGGGACCCGGAGGCTCTGCGGCCTCTCCTGCAGCCAGCCCCACATGGCCTGGGACATGGCCAGTGGGCGGAGCTGCCCACACCTGGGGGCGGGGCTTGTGAAGGGAGCAGACAGGACCCACATGGCCCACCGGCTCATCTGACCAAAGGTTCAAAAACTGTTTAAAACAGCACTCCCAGTCCATTACTACCAGATTCCAAAAGCTACACAAACATTACAATTTGTCATGGGTATACACCAAGCTATTTCTACAGGGGCCACTGTTCAGATTGGCAATATTATCTAAACAAATAAAGTAAAAGGGGTATCTTTTCAACTTTGTATAAAAATAACTTTTCCCCAGGACTGATTAGGACTTATTTTGACCGAGGAAGACATAAGAATGCTGAGGTGGGATTGTGCAAAAGCAACCAGACTAGTGGCTCTGGTTTTTAATGAGGTGCCTGGCAGTCATTTCCACTTATACAAAGAGAGAGAAAGAGACAGACAGACAAAGAGACAGACAGAAAAGGAGTTCACAAGAGAGACAGAGAGACGCAGAGGAAGACAGAGACGGAGGGAGCTGCACGGAGGACGTGAAGAGACCCGACAGGTCTCACGTACAGCAGCTCTAACCACGCACGTAACTTCCAAAATTCTGAGGTGGACATGTCTATTATTTGTATAGTTAAAAATCACATTTTAAAAAGAGATTTTAAACTACGGATGAATTCCACTCTCACGGTCCGGGAGTGGGACCACGCCTCCCTTGCACGGAGCGCGATCTGAACTGCGGGGCGGTCACGGCGTACGCGGCACTCGCGGGCACATCTGCACCTCCCGATGGGTGCAGGTGCATGTGCTTCCATTTGCTTCCCAGGATCCGGTCCTTTCTCCGGGGTGTGCTGCCTGGGGCCCCTGTCTGTCCAGCTGTCTGTCCGTGGGCACTGCGGCCACAGGCAGGGCTGTGCATGGGCTCCCTGCTCTGACCGAGAGTGCGGTGCTGAGTGTGCAGGTTGTGGGCGGAGCCGAGCGTGCAGTGTGGGTGTGAGTAACCGCACGTGCAGGCTGTCTCGGGAAGTTAGCGGGCATCAGCGGCCCAGGGAGGACGCTCACTGGCTTTGTGTACATCCTCTTCGAATGTGACAAAAGGCAACCTCCTCACTCCCATCCCAGAAACCGTGCAGCTAACGAGTACATTTGCAGAGTGTGTGCGCTTTTTCCTTCAAAGTTATGCTCGTCGATTGATTGATTTGGTTTATAAAAACATGGAGTAAGATGCTACAGCAGTTTTATTCTCCACAACAAACTTGAGGTTGGGAAGGAAGCAAACAGTAAGCTAACTGTCTCAAAGTGACACCAGCCACTGCTTTTAGCTTAAAGAGCCTGCTCTGAAACCATCCCACTGCGTTAACGGTAAATGGAGGGGGTGCCTATTCAATACGTCACTCAGACTGGTCCACCTCCCCACGCACACAACCCAACCACAGCCCATGGTGCTGCCCGGCAACTCTGTGCTTCTCCAGACAGGAAGGCCGCCCTGCCTCAGCCACAGCGGCACGTGGGCACGGAGGGCAAGGCAGGCCCGCTCCTGCCTGGATCTGCAGAAGACGCTGCTCTGGTCCAAAGGTCTGGGCGGAGCCAGGTACGCACGGACCCCACTGCCCACCGGTAACACACAGGGTCTCAAGGTTCGACACTAGACGGCAGGTCACCTTGGGGACAGACACTCCTAAGGACAAAGGTCACACAGCACGGCCACTCAACCTTCGGCCGGCAGCCCTCGGATGCCCTGTCCTGAACAGACGTCCCAGCCGGTGTTGAGCCCAGGGCCCCATGCTGCCGGCCGGTACCCTCCAGTGGATGAGGAGCCGCCGGAGCTGCTACACCCGCGGACTGGCACGGCAGCTCTGGGGCACCTGCACGTCTGTGCCCCTGTCCTGAGGAGCTGGCCGAGAGCTCTGTGCAGCACCAGGGATGCTGCCACGCCCGCCCAGGAAGAGCCCTCCCATGCCAACCCCACACCCGCAGGAGAGCCGGGGCAGGGGAGAGCGGCACTCACAGGCCAGGGAGGTGGCACTGGCCGGCAGCGCGGGGGGCAGGAGGTGCTGGTCCGCCTCGGGCTCCTCGGGCTCCAGCGGCCCCGCCGGCGTGTGGTAGGTCACCTGGACCTGCAGGGGCGCGTGCGGAGCCCTGGCTGTGTCGGGGCTGCCCGGGTCCTGCCGCTCCTGCGGCTGCAGCACTGGCCAGATCCTCTCCCGCCGCCACTGGATCAATGCCACGCGGTCGCGGATGGACTTGGCCACAATCTTCACGTCGCTCTCGTGGAAGAACCCAGACTCGATCTGCAAGGGGATCCCCGGTCGTTACTGGGACCATCCCCTCTCCCCCTCCCGTACACCCCACTGCCCAGCCTGCCCTCCACCCGCACCGCCACTGCCCAGTCACCGGGTCTCAGCGCCAAGTCCCTCCTCAGGCCCCTCCCATCCTTCAGGGACGCTCCCATCATCCCATGAGGACAGCCTCAGCGCCAACTACACCCACAGGGGGAGTGACCCTCTGGGCCTCACTGAGGTGAGCTGGAGGGAAGGAAGCAGCCTACTGTCCGAGCCCTGAGGCTGCCTGGTGCCCCTCCCCCACCAGGCTGCCTGAGCAGACGGTGTCCTGGCCGAATGCGTGTGCTGGGGGCAGGGAGGAGGACCCGAGGCCAGCGCGGTTGTCAGCATTCTCCGAGAAGGCACGGCTCTAGCTGGAGACCAGGACCTTGTGCAGCGTTAGGGACCCGGCGCACCCCACAGGGTGTTGGGGAGCATTTGTAAAGGAGCCGAGGCTCCTGGGAAACACCATGGCTCTCTCCAAGGAGATTCATGGTCAAACCACAAAAGAGGGGAAGCCAGGCTCCTGGCCATCACTCGGATCCCCATGTGGAAGAGAGAAAATCAGAGGAGAAGCCTGCGGTGCTGGCCTGGAAAAGTGTGACCCCAGTTTACAGGCACAACAGACAAACACGCAAATGTCGACAGGAGCGTGGCACAGGGCGACAGCCCACGCACGGGGTCAGGTCGGCAGGAAAAGGGCAGGGGCTGGACAACGCCTCCTGCCAGAAGGGAAGCAGGTGCCAGCGCCCGGCTGCCCACCGGCCGCATCTGGACATTCTGAGCGTCCGAGTGCACCGTGCTACCAGGCGGGTTAAAGGGCGTGTCCACACGCGTACACCCAAGGGACACAGGTCTGCGGGCAGCAGCGGGAGTGTCCCTGTGGTCCGAGGTTACAAAGGGGGGCCACGTATGGGCATTCCGTCTGTCTGTCCCTCTCCTGTCTGTCTCTCATCTGCGTCCATCTCAATCCCTCTCTCTACCTCTCTCTGCCTCTCTCCTTTTGTCTCTCAGCCTCAGCGTCTGTCTGTCTCCCTCCCTCCTGGCTCACTGGCTCACACGAGGCCATGTCATGAACAGCCTGTGGAACAACCCCCCTGGCTAGAGACTGAGTCTCCCCGGAGCCACGTGAGCTGGCCTGGTCCTCAGCCCTGGTCGCCCCTCAGCCCAGGTCAGCCTTGGCCACACCTCACGAGGGGCCCTGACCCCAAACCGCCTGCTGAGCCACACCTGGACCCCCGACCTTGGAGAATGGGGAGAGGTGTGTGCACAGTGTGGAGTTGGGGCATTGGTTGCACGGTGAGGGTTAACTCACCAACGGAGCATATAACCTACTGAATAAAGCCCAGCTGTGCGTCCACAGAAATAGAAATAAAAAACCTGGTGGAACGGAGACACTGCTAGTTCCACAGCACCTCCCACCAACAGTCACTAAGGAGGGCTGCACCTGCAGACCCCCACCACGCGACCACAGGGAGTCCGGGAGGCGAACTAGAGGGCGGGCTGCCCTGCCTGCGCACAGGGCTCCTGAACACAGAGCCTGGCACTGAAGGATGGGCCGAGGGCGGCTGCACTCCGGCTCTGACCCCGGGAGCTGGGCAGCCACGTCCTCGTCCTAGTCCTGGGGCGCAGGCCCCAGGCTGCCCGGCGGCGATGTCCTCACACAGGGCTTGGGCGCATGCTTGCAACCCTTTGGGACGTCTGTGATGACTTCGCTCACTCAGGAGACGACTCTGACGGGATGAACCATGACCCCCGCGTGCCCCCTCCTCCCCACCCCAGGCTCAGCGGGTGAGAGCAGGGGCCAGGCCGGGGGTCAGCACGCGCCGCCCAGGGCACAGCCACCTGACTGGAGGCCCTGAAAAGAGGCCGCCCCGGCTCCTGCTGCCACTTCTATTTCTGCCCGTGACCCACTTTCCTCCCTGCACGGCACAGACGCCGCGCCTCCCCACAGTCAGCCTCGCCAGGCCTCGCTTCTGTTTTTTCCCAACCAGGGAAGATTGTAGCCACATCGTATGTCACCCCGAAAGCCCCATTATCCGGGGGATGAGGCAGAAGTAAAGCTGGCACATAACCTCGAGAACCCCCTGTGCTGGGCCCCCCCACCGCCCGCTGCCCAGGGCCCACTGAGGGGAGCCTCCAGATCAGAGACCTGCCTTCCCCCAGGCATCGTCTTTCTGATCCACGTCCCCCACCCCATGTCCCTGCCTGAGGACCTGCTGGGAGGGGACAAGGGTGTGTTTAGAGGGAGAGCAGAGCTGTCCACCCTGCTCCCTGCCACCCTGAGAGCCTTGTCAGAACCAAGAGCGGGTGCCAGAATCCCCCCCACCCGTGCTCAGACCTCAGCCCCAATGCTCAGACCTCAGTCCTAGAACGAGGCAGCAGCCCCAGTGCTCACTGACCTCAGTCCTAGAACGAGGCAGCACCCCCAGTGCTCACTGACCTCAGTCCTAGAACGAGGCAGCACCCCCAGTGCTCACTGACTTCAGCCTTAGAACGAGGCAGCAGCCCCGGTGCGGGGTCACCCTGTGCTCCTGCTGAGTTTCCTTGTGAGTTACCTTCCATTTATGACAACTGGCACGTCTCATTCATGACGTCTGTTACTCTATGTTTGGAGGAAGTCTGTGCTGAGTTAAGGCTGCTGGGCAGTGAGCCTCCTCAGGTCCTGGCGCTGGCCCAGGGCCGGCTGGGAGACCTGGGGCTGCAGAGGCCGGGCCCCTGGTGCCAGCTCTGGGGTTTATGGTGGGTGGGGAGGTAAGCACCGGGCCAACAGCCACGGGACCAGCACCAGCCAGGCCCGGCAGGAGCCGCAGGGGCCAGGCGCGAGCACTGGCAGGCAGCACGTCGGGTCAGCACAGCCGCTCCACCCAATCCGGCCCGCGCTCCACGCAGAGCAGTGGGGACACGCTGTTCTGGTTTTGCCTGGAACTGAGCACGGGACGTGCCTGCTGCGTGGACACTGCGCTGCAGGGAAAGTGCTCCACATGGAAAGCTCTTCTGAAGGAGACGGGGGCGGGGGGGGGGAGGGAGAGGAGAAACACTGGCCCAGGGCCTCCACTGGGACCTGCTGCCAGTTCAGCGAGTGCCAGGGACTGGGGAGTCGGGCCTGGGGGTGCGGCTGGGCTGCAGGAGAGCAGCATCGGGTGGGAAGAGTCCTCCAGGGAGGTGGGGCAGACCCAGAAAGGGCAGCTGGGTCCAGACCCCTGAGCAGGAGGAGGAGGCTGTAGGCTGAGGGGCAGGCAGCACCCGGGAGGCGCCCCTGCGGCCCAGAGCACTGGACACTGGACCCGGCTTGGCCCCCCGAAGTGAATCCCTCCGGGCAGGAAAGGAGCCCTGGTGCCCAGGCTGACCCAGAGAGGGCGGGACACACCGCTGGCCGCCTGCGCCTCCTGCGTCCCTGGCCCCGGCCCCACCCTCAGAGCCCAGAGGCACCTGTCCCCCAAGGCTGTCCCAGGGCACCTCATCTCCACGGAGGGCCCCCTTCCTGCTCCCTGGTCAGTGTGCGCTGCTGGCCAGGTCCCCGGCCCGAAGTCCCTCCGGGACACCGCACACGACCCACACCCTAACGTCGCCTCAGGCTGCTGGCCTGCACGCCGCCTCGCATGTCACTTATTTGTGCTTTAAATTTCAGCAGAGCGCGGAAAGGGTCCGGCAGCGTGAGGAGGGACGGCGCTGCCGCATCACAGGGCGCCGTGCAGGGGACTGTGTAGATGCGACGCTCAGTAAATGCGCAGCAGTCCCCAGCACGCCACGTGGGCCAGCCTCCCGGCACGGCGCTGGAGACCCATTCAATCCGTGCGTAACACGTGTCTGCCTGTGACTGGCAGCTGGGAAGGGGCGGGCTGGTCCTGACCTGGGAGCCAGGCCACGGACAGGACGTCACACCCACTGCAAATGCGAGCGCTGCAGGGCACAGGCCGCATCCGGTGGAAGGTGGGGCCGTGACTGGCCATGCGGCGCCCACTCCGTCTCCCGCTGGCCTGCTGCACCCTCACCTCACCACGTGCCTGGGCCCGATGAGCCCACCGACCGCCCTCGGCCGTGGCTCCCGCACTCGCCTGCACAACCAGCCTGGCTCCTTCTGGGAGCAGGGCCTGGACCCAGCGGGTAGCTGCACCTCTTCCTGCCCGGCCACTCCTCCTCCTAAACCCCCCGCGCTGGCGAGTCCAGCTGGGCAGCACCTGTTGGTTGCACCCTGTGGGCACTTCTGATAGATGCGCTATATTCAGTCACGGTCATTTAAAGGGAAGGCGGGCTCGCCCTCTGCAGTGACCCTGCTGGCTCTCACTTCTGCCCAGTTTCTCCAGGAAAAGCCGGTCTCATCAGTTTCTCACGGTACCTTTCCTCTCTCCGCGACCCTGAGCTCACCCCCGCCTGCTCCCGCTGGCCTCCTGGGCCAAATGCGGCTCAAAACACAATGTAACACAATCCAAACTCTAAGGCCCACATTTATGCAAAGTCGGCAGAACCCGGTCAGAGCGGGGCCTTTCCTGACACCCCGTTTCTGAGCCACGTCCCGCATCTGGGCAGAGGGGTATCCGACCCACGCTGTCCCTCACAGACACACGTAACACAACCTCCTTCCAGACGCCTCCCACGGCAACCCCCTTCTGGCTTTGTTCCAACCTTTGGAAACCACAGACTCTCAAGGCTGTGCCCCACGATTCCACAGCCCACCCAACGCCCACCACCACCCTCCACTGCCCAACGCCCACCAACGCCCACCGCCACCCTCCACTGCCCACCAAAGCCCACCGC